TAATTGCAGATAATCCAGGAGTATTTTTATACCAGCCTGGAAGCAAGAAACAGCTAAATCGGTGCGGTGCACATAAATTCCTGCTCAAAAACAGGCCGTTCAATAACACAACAATCATTACTCAAGAGCCGCCGCCGTTAGTCCACACCACAAAACTAACTTGCGTCCTATTTCCCTGAAAGTTCCCGTGATTTTGTGTCTATTGCATTTTCCAGTAGTACGTAATAAATAAGTCATGAAAATGAAGGTCACCTAACCTCGGTGCATCAAGACGTATTTGGCAAGACAGCGTAATGCCTTCCAAGTTTGTGGAACAAATTAAATTCTGCTGCTCTGTTGCACTTTGCATCCAAACAACCATTACAACTGGCTTTATATACTGTCTGAGCAGCAGACCATCAAATGGTGTTTTTATTCTTGTGCTGGAACGCGCCAAACTATTGAGAATAGAAATCCATCGCTCGTATGCAAAGGCGTATAGCCAATCTATATCTGATGGTGAAATGATAGTTTCATACAGGATTCAAATTGATCACGGCATCTGTACTGTATAGTATTAGCTCTGCGTGAGGCATCATTGGTGGTCTTTTGGAGGTAATTGGGCTTTTTTTGCTGGAAGTTTCTTGGGAATTATTGAAGCAGAGTGGGAATTACAAGATTAAGTACTCCAGAATAAGTTCTCGTTCTGTGGCACAGCTCTGTTTCATATTTTATGTTGCTTTTTGTTTGTTGATAAAATGTGGAGACAATATCCGCTGATTTTCTTCTCCACCAACAGTCATTTTTCATCCATCAAGGCATTCTTCACTCCCCATCTTTCGGCACTTGCTATAACTGATTTAGCATTTATGGTGGTAAAAAATTAATCTAAATGTCGGCCAACGGGGAACGCAGAAGCTCTGGGCTGATTTATTTCTGACTTAATTCAGAATGGCTTGACATGATGAACGCTACAGAAAGTGGGCAGTTGTGTTTTGGAAGCATTAAAGCGGCTGTTGTGAGTTGTTTGATTGAAAATCATAAATCAGTGGACTCAAACCTTGGACCAGAGAGCTGAGACTGTAAACACCAGAAAGCATGTGCCATGTACGTTATTAGTCGATACACCGACTTCATGCAGATTTACTTGTGCTTAAAGTGGATGAAAATGATGTGCTTCTGAATCTGATTTGTATATGCATTTGAATACATTTTAGGGGGGCTTTACGTTTTTTTAAACATAGCTGTGTATGTTTCACACCAGAGTTAGGCAACAACAGAGTTGTATGCACCATTAAACTGGATGTTATTATTCCGATATCTAGCTCTACACGTTAACTTTAACTTGCTCAGCAAGATTCTCTTCAAAACTGTTGCTCCACCGTGACACTAGTTTACCATAGAAGAAAAGTTTACACTAAATATTACATTAACATATGGAATACTCTTTACATATGTACAATGCATATTTTTCAGCTTTTTTGGCTGGAATCATAATTTTTGTACTGTCCCTATCCAAATAAACCAATAAATACAGAGTTCTGGCATGAAACTCTAGATGGCGTAGTCCGATAGGTCTAACTCAATCTGACCTAATGACATCATCACATGGCACAGCTGATTGGTTCTCTCCTGTATCGTTAGCCAATGAGCTCGCTGCTCAACATTCAAATATATGACTAGTGCTGCCGTAGCAGTTGTAGCTTGCTTCAGAAACCCTCCACCTTCCCCAGCTCCACCTGTATAGCTCTGCTACGAGGTGATTCACGTATGCTATATGGGGTTATTTCATGTATGTTATATTTGCAGCAGCAATATTTCTTACATGCTCACAGCAGCATGTTGTGGATGTATTGGCAGTAGCGAGTCTCGGTACTTGCTCTGCTGCAACAGCAGCAGCGTAGCAGATCTATTCCGCCAAGACCAAATACATTAACATTGTCATGTACATTACCATGCCAATCCCTCCGAGAGTTGTCATGACAGAAATAAAAATCTGCTATAGCTCCTTGTGGCAACACTGAGAATACATAGAATATGTTTTGCAACTTACACTATCTATGCTAGATGTGCACGATGCATTATGTCGCTCATGTTTTAGCTAATGAAGCTACACCCCAAAACGTGGAAGTATCATTGCAGCACATTGCATTGCATTTTAATTTGGCAAATGATGCATTTCTACTTTGGACGTGCTGCAACGCTACTTTAGGCAGTTTTTTTCTTCTCTGAAATGAAAGTAAAAAATGTCAATTATTTCATTTATATACACTCAGTGTTATTTTAGTATCATTGATATACTGTTTTGTTTTAGTTATTAACAATTTTTTATTTAGATTTTATTTTCTGTTTTAGTAATTTTGTTGTTTTCTGGCCGCTGGCTTATTAATTTGTCATCTTGTATTTCTAACCATTTGTATAACTCTACTACTGTAAAATATCCCACACTAAAAAGAAAAAAAAATGGTGTGAAAACAATTTTTAATCAGAAAGTGTGTAAATTTCACAAATAATTACAATGAATTGGTAAATAACACATTGAACTAAATATGAAATTTTGAAGTAGAAAGATTTAAATAGTGTTTTCTTGTGAATAATAATGTTTAATTTACAACTTATATATATATATATATATATATATATATATACATATTTACAGTGCATACAGTGTTTACATCAGTGTATTCCAGTGCATTTTCATATTTAATGATGTGGCGTTGGTCGCTTCCAGTGTAGACTAGGGATATGCTGGTATCAAATTTTCATGTTGCGATTAATTGCTAATGCTTTTATCACGGTATACGGTATGCATTTAAATTAATTATTATTATTATATTAATATTATTATTATTATTTCTGCAGTTTAGCGCCATCTGCTGTCAGAGAGTGAAAGTGCGCTTTCATCCAGAGCGTCTCTCGCATGTTCCGCCATGTGCTTCTTGTCCGTGCTTGTTTACGTCAGAGTGCGCACGCGTCTTTCACGCAGCATACAGCGGTGTTGTGCATTTTGACCAGTTGATGGGAAAAGTATTCTTAAAATGCATTCAAAATTCGGAATAATTTGTAATATATAATTATTCACGGTATTTAGAAGTGCCCACGATAACAATATCGTGCATATTCATTACCGTGACATATCGCATTACCGAATACCGGCACAAGTCTAGTGTAGACATTATGTTGAGCCGCTACTGTAGCAGTTGCTGCCAGAAAGGGACTTATTTTATTCAGAAGGAAATAAATACAGAGAAATGCTCAGCGCATAGTTGTAAATCACTCGATTCAGAATAAACAGAAACACTTTGAGGCAGTAGTCATAATTTATGATAAATCATTGTTTTGTGCAGGCATCTGGGGGAGCGAGTGTATATTTTGGGCGTTTTCCGTCTAGCATCGCTTCTGAGCTCAGATGTAGGTGAGGATACCGCGGTCTTGTGTTTCTTTCTCTTTGTTTGAGTGCTTGGTGGGGGAAGAAGATCTCTGACCGGCTGTCTGTGTCTGTGGTAAAAAGGCAGCAATGAAAGTCATTCACAGGGTGTCTCACGAGACCCTGGGCCAAAGCTAATCACAACTTCGACCCACTTCTGGATTCCAATGACTGAATCAATTGAGCTGAGGTCTCTTGACGGAGCACAACTAAGTCAGTGTGACTGCAACTTTAGCCTGCTGGAGCCCAGTGCCACAAACACCGCGGTTGCCTGCCCCGTCTGTGATTGGCACAGAGGTGTGCTCCTGATACTATATACAGTCAATAACAAAGAGCCCGGCACAGCTATTGAGTTCAGTTACAGACCGTCTCTCCTGGGCCTTTTGTTTGGCTGGGAAAGGCAGTGTTGAAAACAGAGACGCATGTTGGGATACATTGCTACAAAATTACAATACAGATGAATCCAGTTACATGTGTGTATTATGAATAGAAGATAACATTATTGGATCTCTCAGTAGTAACCATGGTTTTCCCTCTCTTTAAGGTGTAGTACTCTCACTAACAACACATATTTTATATTCTTGTGAATGAATATGAATCATGCTTCTGTATATACTGTTCAAAAGTTTGAGGTCAGCGAGAGTTTTTTAAAGAAATTAATACTTTTGCTTATCAAGGATGCATTAAGCTGATTAAACGTGCCATTAAAGCCATTTATAATGTTACAAAACATTTCAATTTCAAATAAATACTGAACTTTCTATAAATCAAAGAATCCTGAAAAAATGTATCATGGTTTCCACAAAACTATTAAGCAGCAAAACATTTCAACATTGATAATAGTAATACATGTTTGAGCAGCTAAGCAGCATATTAGAATGATTTCTGAAGGATCATGTGACACAAGACTGGTGTAATGATGCTGAAAATGCAGCTTTGCATCACAGGAATAAATTACATTTTAGAATGCATTAAAATAGAAAAAAGTTATTTTAAATAATTATTACACAATATTACTGTTTTTGCTGTATTTTTTTATCAAATAAATGCAGCCTTAGTGAGCTAAAGAGACTTGTTTCAAAAACATTACAAAATCTGACTGACCTCAAACTTCTAAATGGTAATGTACCACCACAGTATGCCATGTCCCATTTAAAGTCAGGGCTAAAAAATAAAGGAGATTGGGGATGTCAAATGAAAAAGCAATTTTGAGGTGGAAAGAATTATTATATTTGGATGAAAATACATTTTTGGGATTTTATAATAATATGCCCAAAGTATAACCAGATCTTTGTGTTAAAAAAAGCAAATGGGGTCATCAACATCATTTTTAATGTAAATTTACAAAGCAAAATTCTTAGCCCACTGCTTGATAGATAAAGAAATCATAATCATAATAATAATAATAATTCTACAGTATATTCCCCTTGTTTTGGTTTGTCTTCTGGGACATCGTCCCTCTGTGCCTCACACATGTAAAGACATTAAGCATAAAGGACTGAAGTTTTGTCAGTCACAATGCAGGAAGCAAAGTCTGTCAGGCTTTGACTAGCAGTAGATGTTTATGTTACAGACGTTCTTGCGTTTCTGTCAGGTTGCAGGCTCTAAGGAAGGAGAAGTCACGTGACGCTGCTCGCTCGCGCCGGGGGAAGGAAAACTTCGAGTTCTATGAGCTGGCAAAGATGCTTCCGCTCCCCGGCGCCATCACCAGCCAGCTGGACAAGGCCTCCATCATCCGCCTCACCATCAGCTACCTTAAGATGAGGGACTTCACCAACCAGGGGGACCCGCCGTGGAACCTGCGCTTCGAAGGACCGCCGCCCAACACCTCAGTCAAAGGTAAGAGGCATTCTTCTGTGTAGAATTTTTGCTCTTTTGTTGTTAATAACGGAATATTCCGTTTTTTTCTAGGTTATTTTCAATTGAATGTATAGTATGTGTGTAGTATGCTCAATATAGAATACTGCAGACAATAATTTCGAGTTTCTCAGAGTCTAAAAAATGTGAAACTGCCTTTACAATAAAACACTTACTTAAATACAACTATCACACAATTTGGAATGATTAACAATAACAGTTAAACTTAACACACGTTGGCATGAGAGAATAACTAACTGGTTTTGTCCAGTTTTCTGTCATAATCCACTCAATAAGTAAACCTGACTAACTCATAATCAAACCAGTGCTATTTTAGTATAATTCAGATACTGTTACAGTTTTTATTAATATTTGACTTGTTTTTTTTTTGTTTTTTTTTATCTGTTTTCATTTTAATTTTAGTTAAAGTTTACGTAATTTTGTTGTTACATTTTTTTTTTTTTTAAATATGTCTACATAGTTTTTAATTAATTTTTATTTTGGTTTTTGTTATTTTAGTACATAAAGTTAAACTAAATGAAAATGATCAATATTTCCTTGGCAACTAGATGAAATAAAATAAGTTTAATGTTTTTTAATATATTTTATTTTATTTCAGTTAAGATTTATCTTTTTTTAAATAATGTAAATGTATTGTATGGTTTTAGTTTTAGTTAATATAATAACCCTGCTCATAATGTATAATAACCAGAAATCCATCAACGTAGAAAAATAGTCAAAAAGTATCATTTAGACAACAAGTAACAAACCATTTTGTCTAAAAAAATAAATAAAACAAATATAATACAATAAATCTAATTCTAAATCATTGCAGGAATTCTAAAATAAATAATAAATAAATAACTTTTTTTCACAGCAACAACAAGTAAATATTTTCATTCATTTTGCAATTTCCTTTTGGGGACACTACTGCATCCACAATGAACTTAAACTAAATATACTTACACAAGCTGCACATTTCTGTTTCATTCAACCAACTTGCATGCAAGACTTCTTTTAAAGTATAGAACTGCATGCATTTCTTCTGCTAAACACAAAAGAGGATATTTTGAAGTAGATATAACCAGTCCCATTGACTTCCATTATATTTTTTGTCCATACTGTGGAAGTCAATGGGACCTGAAACCGTTTGGTTGCCAACATTCTTCAAAATATCTTCTTTTATTGTTCCACAGAAGAAAGAAAGCCATTAAGTTTTGGAATGACATTATATAAATGATGACAGAAATGTCTTTTTTTGGTGGACTATCCCTTTTATAAGCGTAATTTTAAGAGAAAAAAAGCTTTTTTTGGTGGACTATCCCTTTTATAAGAGTAATTTTAAGAGAAAAAAAAGTTGAGATGATTGTCAGTGGTAGTCAACTGCATGCAGTACACAAAAACAACAGATCAACTCTTAGTGCTTTTGGTTACCAGCAAGGACAGGAAGTAGACAATGAAACTGTAGATGTACATTAAAAAAGTCGAGTGAGATGTGCACAGCGGTCATAACTTGCTCCCTCCTGACTGGAATTTGTTGCACTACAGGCTCTCGAAGAAAAATAGCTGTCGGTAATAAATAAACAAGACCATGTCATGCCCTACAGAAGCCTAATTAGTTACGAACGTGAGTACACTGAAGCAGCCTATAGAATTAACAGTAACTATGGATTCTTAGTTGGACTGTAACGATTAGCTGATTAATGGGCCTGGTTAATCAACTAATGCTAATTGGTTGGTGATAAAGAATGCGGTCGGGATCAATGAAAATAAAGATGCGCTCGATACTTGCTCTTCTCGTTATATTTGATGGCTGTGGCTAAATATCAAATGTGGCTGTAATATTTAAAAGAGATGATGCTCTTAGGATCATTAGCATGTTTCTAGTGCCTGGGTTTCAACCAAAAAGACAAACTAGTATTTCCAGTATTTCCATTTGCCATATTTTTTTTGTATTATTACATAGACATTATGTGTGTGTATATATATATATATATATATATAATATTATTTTATATTACTTATTTGTTATATTTTTTTTCTTATTTTAAATTTGATATATTTTTGACAAATTTTCATTCAGTTATTTTCTTGATTTTATTTGAGTAAATTCGTTACAGCTACTTTGCACTTAAGTGTGAATTATTTACTGTACATTTGGCATGGCTGTAATACCGTGAATGTTGTTAGAGGCAACAGTAAATTGTTGCAGTTTTCAGCGGCTTTGTTCTGTGTATTCCGGCCGGCACACAACAGATGGTATCATTGTTGTCTCGCTTTGAAGAGCCGCATGCATTTTAATGAGAAAATGTATATGGTGAATAATTCGGTGTAGAGCTGGTCCACAGGACTGTTGCCTTTTACACGTCCGACATCAACGTGCTCGACATGCAGTGCAGGAAATGATGTAAGCGAAGGAAATGAATGAAGTGCATTGCATCCCATGTATTAATGAATGCTCAGCAAGGTGAATTCAAACCCTCTAGGACAATGAGAGGCTCTTTGTGTCCTTCCATCTCATTGACAGCAGCCGTTTGAATTGAATCAGTAGCGCGGCCCATTTTATTTGCACTACATTTCGAACAGAACCTGTTATCGATTCCCGTTTTGCTGCTCTGCATCGCTAGAGCTAATGGATACTCAGCCCCGCTCCCGATTCGTCCGAGCTCATGAATCTCTGTTTATTTTCCGATCGGAGCGAGGAGATGGGTCTGGCCTACAGTGGTAAAGAGCTCTCTCTCCTCATCCTCTGCTGACTCCTGCCAGATTGTTGTTTAGAATAGAAGAGGTGCATGTGTTTTGATTGGCGAGCTGACCGGGAGGCGCGCCGTGTGCCATAATGCAGAGCATACTAATACGAGCATATGGTGACTTATTGCATCAGGCCCGGAGCTCAGAGGGCAGGGCCAGTTTCTTCTTCCGATTGTTTGTGTGCATGAGTCAAGGTGAGCCCTAGGAAAACGATATTGTTTCCTGTGTCTGGAAGTAGCCAGTTCATTTGTCAGTGCAGACTTCCAGGCAATTTCCCAGCGACTTTACATTGAGATCTGAAGCCGCTGCTGCTGTTATTATTATACAATATTTGCTGTGAGAAGAAGAAAAAATCAAGTTGACTTCTTGTAAGGCATTTCTACATTATAACTGATGATTGTAACCTTTTGGGAAATCTCTGAACCGTGTCGTTTGGCAAATCTCATGTGAATCAGAATGATTTTTTGCATAGAGGAAAAACTTCTTGCATTTTCCCAGTTCTTTTTCATGTCCATGTGAATAAAGAAAAAAATATCTGATAGAAACATACACAGCCATTCGAGTTTGGGGTCATTAAGATATATATATTTAAAGAAATTAATGATTTAATTTTTTTCAGTAAGGATGCATTACAGTAAATACATTTATAATGTTACAAAAGATTTCTATTTCACATCAATACTGTTTCTTTGAACTTAGTCATCAAAAAATGTATCACAGTTTCCACAGAAATATTAAACCGCACAACATTGATAATAATAAAAAAGTGTTTCTCGAGCACCAAATCAGCGTATTAGAATAATTTCTGAAGGCTCATGGAATTTCCTAGTGAGTTCAGAACCCACAGCTGCTGTTATTATACAATATTTGCAGTGAAAAGAAGAAAAAATAAAGTTGACGACTTGTAAGGCATTTCTACATTATAACTGATGATTGTAACCTTTTGGGAAATCTCCGAACAGTGTCGTTTGGCAAATCTCATGCCAGTCGGAATGCTTAGAGGAAAATCTACCTGCATTTTTCCGGTTCTTTTTCGTGCCCGTGTTGAATAAAGAACAATCTGGAGCTGCCATTTGAACAGTGGAGAGTCGCCAAACACCATTAAAACAAAGCTGCCTTTTGTTGAATGCAAAACCAGGGTGACAAAGCGTAGAATTCGGGCCTTTATCTGTAATAAAAGCAGGCTGTTTTACTGGCATTGCAACTGAAAGAATTTGACCTCCATTTCTCAAGTGTTGATTTATTATCATAAGTCGCACGCTAGCCGCCTCTCTCCTATTGCGCCTGTTGACCTTTACCGTAATTGACCCATCAACTAATTTTTTGGGAGCGTTTTAACCGAAATTTGCTAGTCTCTGTCAGAAGCATTTCACATCTGTTGAAGGACACTGCACAAACAAGCATGACCTTTCTGTTGTTTGGAGGATGGCGCGGGCCCCTGACCCCCCTCCACCACCTGTGCATTCATTATTCATGCATGCAGAGCAGCGAGCAGTCGCCAAAATGCCACACTTCACCAAGCGCACACCCCCAAACTCTACAGCGCTGCCTGCACAATTGACACGTTTTGTGCCTGTAGTTAGCCGCCGAGTCGAGGACGCATATGCCAGTTGTCCTTTCATGATCACCAGAAAGGAATTCCAAATGGGCTGAAATATTTGCAAAATAGCAGCTTATCCATCGGAATGTCAAAAACTCGCTTCTCCGTCTTAATCACCCAAGGCGTAAACATCTTGCGCCAACGGCTGCTCGGAGACTGATATTAACGGAGGGAAATGACCTAATTGAATGAAATGCGAAACTATTTTACATGCACTGCATGGGAGATAAATCACAAACGAGATCTCTGTAACGTCTCAATTGTTTCTCCTAGACAGCGATGAGATTCAATGGAGAGGAAATGGAGGCTTGGGAGAAAAAAAAATGAGGAAAAAAACTCCATAATTTCTCAACTCTGCTCAGATTTGCAGTCAAGATTTTCCCCCCCAAGATCGAATTCATATCCATATTCTATCCAAATTTATTTTATAGCTGTTATACTCTTACTATATGTTGATGTACACTACGGATCAAAAGTTTGGAGATTCATGTTTTTGAAAGAAGTCTGACTGCATTTATTTTATTAAAAAATGCAGTAAAAATTGTGAAATATTATTGCAATTTAAAATAACTGTTTTCTACTTGAATAGGTTTTAAAATGTAATGTATTCCTGTGATGCAAAGCTGAAGAC